GGATTAAGTGTTAATCCTAACTCAAGGGCCAAGTCTCGCGGGGAGGGATGCTTTCCTTAGCCTTTTCTCCTTAGGCTTTCAGGTTAGCCACGCATAAAGAAGTGGGCAGTTCCTATCCTGACCACTGAAGCCCAAATGAGAGGGCAGTGAACCCAGTAAATGGGGAATACATGCCATATGGAGCCAACGGCAAGTTCTGGTGTAAATGGTCTCTGCATTGCTCTCTGCAATGCAGATAAAAGTCCCCAGAGCCATCCTTTTGTACTGAGCTGTGTGCATCCGAAAACTGTTCAAATCGTCAAGAACACTGAACCATTTTCTTTCCGCTGCAGCATGCGGGGCACTGCTTCCTCTAATGATTAGTGACTGCTTTAGAAACAGTGTTTGGTGGTACACACAATTTTTGTTTGGGATCTCCTTTCAAACCAGTGCTTGCATTCTCTCGGCTGGCTGCATTAGGAATGCAATCTGGTGTAGAAGAATTGACAATAATATTTGTCAAGCACTTACCATGTGTCAGCAACTGTTCTAGGCACTTTCATGAGTTATACCATTTGCTTCGCACAACAACTCTGGAAGGCAGATGCTTCTGTTCTCATTTCTATATAAGGCCGTTTGTGACGCTCCGTGCTGTTCCCACCATTCCAACACAACTACTTCAGCCTTTTGGACCTGAAGCCAACACACATGCTCTCTACTAGTTGTTAAATTCTCCCTCTTTCTGTGTCTCTCTGTATGTGTGTATCTGTGGCTTGCGTGTACCTAGATGTCAGAGGTGAATTGTTTCTCACCTTCCACCTTGTTCTGAAGCAGGGTATTGCTAGTGTCTACAGCAATGTGTACTCCAGGCTAGCTGACCCTTGAACTTCCAGGTGATTCTTCTCTCTGCATTTCCCATTTCACTATTGGAGAGCTGGAATTACAGATGCTTTCTACCACATACAACTTTTCATGTGGATTCCTGGAATTGAACACAGATTATCACAGTTGCAAAGCAAGCACATTTACCGGCTGAGTCATCTCTCCAGGCCTGTTTCTACATTTTTGGGACAATGCTTTCATTGTCATATATATACATATATATATATATACATATATATATGCTGTTCAAATACATAAAGACAAAATGTATTTGTAAGAGACTATGCACAGGCAAGCTATGGAGAGATCAAGCAGACAAATAGTGTCTTCTTATGCAGGAGACAGCTGACCAGCTCGAGAAAGGACAGACGAGCAGAGTGAGTCAGTTACTGCTGAAGCTTTCCGAGGAGATGATAGAATGGATGGCGTCACGGGTAAATGAAGTCTTAGCTGCCTCTGCCTTGGAAAGAGGACAGGGACTTTGTAGACTCCCGGAAAGAGTCTCGGTTTCTTCTTCATTGGAACTTGATTCCAGTAGAAGCAGAGAAGTAATAGAAACCCAATAGTGGATTTTTGTTTCTGCTTTTGACAAAAAAAAAAAAAAAGGTTCTCTTGCAGGCTCTGATTTTTAGGTTGAGAAGGAGTTAGTGAAGAGGATAATTTACGACTGGATTTACAAGTTAGAAATAGCCGCCGATGGCACAAATGGTGGATGCCGCCTTCTCCCTTACACTGGTTTATTTATTTATTTATTTGCAGAGACAGGGTCTTGCTACATAGCTCCTGCCCTGGAACTCACTCTGTAGACCAGGCTGGCCTTGAACTCACAAAGATCTGCCTGCCTCTTCTTCCCAGTTCTGGTATTAAAGGTGTGTACTAGTAAATTAACAGTGGGATTTCAGTCCACAAATTTATGTACTATGCATACTATGTGCTGTCCTCAGAAGAGGCAGAAATAAAAGATATATGATTTATCACAAAGCTTCTCTGTCGGACCCTGCTTCATTCTGTTCTTCAGTGACCCTTTCCTCCCAGCCAGTGATTTCCTACCAATTGTTGGTAAATTGCTGAATCTGGCTTGATCAGAAGTGAGAATGACCCGGTAGATTCTGGGCGTGTCTGTGTGAGATTGTCTTGATACGCTAATTGAAATAGGAAGCCCTCCCCACGCGGGTGGAACCATTTCCTAGGCCACATTCTGGACGATCTGAGAGTGAGAAAAACGGGCTAAGCGATGATGTGTGTCCATTTTCTCTGTTCTGATGGTAGGTGGAACGTGACTAGATGCCCCAGGCCCTTGCTGCTGTGATTTCTGCTCAGTGACGGACCTTGAACTGTGAACTGAAGTGCCTGGTTCCCTCTTAGATTTTTGTAGAGAATGCTATCACAGCAACAAAACTGAGATGCCAGCCTTTATCATCGAGAAGGCATAATAAACAAATCACTTCTGAAATGGACAAATCAGAATGTAGCCATTTAAAAATAATCCCCACAAACTAGAAATCATATCAACCCCCTCCCTTTTTTTTTTTTAAAAAGAAAAGTGATGCAGGGTCAGGTGGAGGGTTCAGAAGGAAGCTCTGGCTCTGACCCATGAAGGGTGCTCTTGTGAATACCAGGGAGACCATTTTTACATAACTCTAAGTCAGCATGTACATATCCCATTACCCAGTGAAAAGTTTCTGCACCCCAATAAACCTCTCCGCCGATGCAATAATCCAAATCAGACCAAAATCAAACCGAATTAGAAAAAGCCCAGGTTTAATGGATGCAAACACTCTCGGGTGGCTTTCCAGTCCCCCAGAGATGAGATGGGAAAGGAAGACCGGAAAAACCATACATTTGTTCTCTTGGGGGCAGTTTAAATACCCTGTGGGAGTGGTCTTGAGCATCTTAGGGAGGGGTCATCGTTTGGCGGGCTTTTCGAGGGTAGAGTCTGAACTGAGGCAGCTCCCAGGGTAAGGGGCTTGGGGTGGAACTTCCACCGAACATTCCAGACTCTGGATATATGGATGCCAGGGGCTGGGGTGACACTGCTAACCAAACACTCAGTAGTCCCAGAATTGTATATTTGGGTCTAAATCACCTGAAACCTGTTATTTTTAATAGTCATCAAGTCACTACAATATTGGAGCATTTAAAAGGAATTAAGATGCTATAGAACTAAAGTCACAGAGACCCAAGAAATTTAGCGATGGCAATACCCTCCTCCATAAGCTGTCAAAATAAGAATGTATATGCAGTCTCAGTGGGGGAAATGTTGAGTTTGAAGGGAATACATAAGAAAAGGGGAATACTTCAGAATCTATTTTGGGTAGTGTTGGGGATCTCCAGCTAGGGGCTGCATTCCACGCGCTGGTCTCATGCCTCCCATTCCAAACCTCACCCCTGAGAAAGTCCGCCAAAAGTCAGCCCCTGCCTAAGGTTGCTCAAGACCATGCCTGCAGGCTATATAAGACCTGTAACCATATTTGCCATGTGATTCCTCCCCTGACTTCTCAAGGGTTGTCCAGAAGTTGCTTTGCTATGCTCAGATTAAACCTGGATTTACTAATTCAGCCTGATCTGACTTATTACATAGGCAGTGTTACTATCAGGGGATTCAAGCTTTCCAGGGAGATCTTCTTGGGCAAGAAGATAATCTAGATTATTGAAATCTTTACAAATTCTAACTCTTTTTGCTTACTAGCCCAAACCTGGTTGTTTCATTATCATATTATTTTTTTTTTACCAGCGCCTAAGACTTTTCTAATCCCTAATGCATGAATGATAAAGTATGTACAGAAAACATTTATAGTTCTTACTAAACAAGGAGTAGTTGTTGGAACTTTGGGGAAAAAGCAATAGTTGAGGTTTCATAGTCTTTGGCACTTTCCTGTTTAACATCTTTTGCAGGGATGCTTTGCAAGTTTTTTGACTTAATCAAAACTGTGATGACTCTACCTTCTGAACACAATGGATGTACATAGTATTTCAAGTTCTGGTGAGACCTTGCCCAGAAGCAGCTGAACTGTGGCATCTTTTAAGCATATGGGAGATTCTGAGAGTAGCTCAGTTACAACAGTCACTGCCAGCAAAGCATCTAGTGGATGGGGTTGTCTTTGGAGTAGCAGGAGAGCCCACCTGGGGAGAGAAGGGCTTGTGTGGGTTGCTGTTGTTTGCATCTGCAGCACTGAAGTGGAACCTGAGGCTACACTTCCAGCCCTTTGTGTTTTTGTAGACAGGATCTTGCTAATTTGATCAGGCTGGCCTAAAATCTATAATACTCCTGCTTTAGATACCAGAGCGCTAGGATTATAGACATGGGACATTACACTCAGTTGGTGTTTTTAAGAATAGAATTTTGAATCGAGTTAATTCTAAATAATTGTTATAATATAAATAATCATAAAAATAATTTAATATATAATAATTATATTTAGCACATAAATATTATTAATATCTAATATATAAATATTAGGTATGAAATATAATGATTTATATTATGCAAAAATATATAAATAATTGTTATAAATCTAGATAATTATAATTATTATAATTCTAAATAAATATAATATATAAATATATAAAATAAATATTATAGGATAGATTGTGAAACAAATTATGTCCAATTATAAAAGCATATATAAACCTGTAATAATAAAGATTATATGATTTTTAAAATTTTTATTTAAGATAATTTTTAAAATGCAGGCTCTCAGGCTCTCTCTATGTTATGTATATATTTCAAGTTAACCTTGAACTCACGATCCACCTTCCTCACAGGCAGGCAATTGAGGGCTGCGTTTACAAAGCTTATACCGCTATGACCAACCGAAGAAAGTTCTTTCTAAAATTTGGGGTTGCTCGTGTATCCTTCAGCAAATGTTCAAGTCAAACATGCAGATTTGTTTAGTCCAAGTTAGGAAGCTGGGATGGACTGAAAAAGAAATTAGACTTCTACAGAAAGCCTATTCCAAAGGAAAGATCCTGCCTTCTCCCTAAAAAGGAATCAAATTAGAAACCCACAGTGGAACATTCTGACTGATTTCAGCTGATTTGAAATGCAAATTGGATATGTTAGTACCTTTACACATGACACAAATTCAAATGAAAATAACTATAATCATGTGATTGATTTCTGTTTAATATTTTCAAAGGCCCAGTGATAGACAGTTCACGGAAAACATAGTGGCTTTACAGTTGAGAGACGAGACTTCTCCCTGCTTACTACCTTGCCATCCCCATCCCCATTGTCCGAGATAGCTGCTGAATCTCCAGCCAAGACGTCCGCACCCTACAGGAACAGGAAAGGCATACCACCTGTCTCTAAGAAGACATTTCTAGAAGTTATAGGTAAGACTTAGGCAAAAGTTAATCACATTGCAGCCCCCGGCTGCAACAGTCAGGCTGCCAGGCCTTGCTTGAGCGGGAATGGCTCAGCTGGAAACTGGGATTCTTATTGCTAGAGAAGGAAACCAGGCGTTGAGAGATCTTCTCATCAGACTTTGCCATTGTGACAGAGTGTATGGCACAAGTACCTTAAGAGAGAGCTTTCTTCTGACTCACCGTTTCTGAAGCTTCAGTTTATCATGGTGGGGAGAGAGGGAGGGGGAAGTAGAGAAGCTCACACCATGGCAGCCAGAGAGCAGAGAGGAAGGGTGTGCAGCAGGATTATTCCTTTAGCCACCCTAGCTCATGGGGGTGCTGCTCATGTTCTGACTGGATCTTCTTCCCTTCACCAATTCTCTAGGGAAGCACCCTTACAGACACACACTCAGAAGTGTGCTGTACTGTCTTACAAGGCCTTCTCAATCCAATCAGACTGATAAGCAAGATTAGCCATCACAAGTGTCCAACATCTTTACTTAGAACTTCTCCAGGCCTTTTAATGTCTCTCTTCAACTGAAAAGGATTCTAAACCTAAAGATTCTAGGAGAAAGACCACCAACCCACATCACCATGGTCAAGTTAATTAAAGCAAACAATTAATTAAAACAAACTTTATTTTTTAATCCATGTACATGGACTGCCTCCCCCTAAGGTGGGATTCAAGAAGTTAACATTATACCTGAAGAAGACAAGGCTTTTATACCTTGGGGTAGGGGGTTTCCAAACAGGGGATTTGGTGGTCAAAATAGTCTGGGTTATAGGAGCAGAATGTAAGCATAACAAGTTAGTCATAATGACCTCCTGAAACAAAGGCATGGTTGCAAGGTGGTCATAACAAGGTAGTCATAACCACAGGTAGTTATAACAAGGTAGCCATTGGTGGTCATAATAACCCTTTGAAACAAAGATGTGGTACAGAACCATTTGTAGTTAAGGTTACAGGTGGGGAATAGCCCAGTCCTTGAGAAACAGATTTAACCATGAACAGGAGTTCATAGTTTGTTTTCACTGTAAGATGATGACTCTTAAGCCTAAGATGGAGGCAGCCTGGCTTCCCAAGTGCTTTAAGTGCAGAGGAATCTGTGAAATGGTGTTAAACCCAAGTACTACTTAAAGGGTAGGGTTCAGGAAACAAGTAGAACTTATACCTTAAAGTTCTAAGTATAGAGAATGTTGTCTATTTACATTTTAGTGTTAGGATATTGTATTTGGGGCTGGAGAGATGACTCAGTGATGAAGAACCAGCACTTACTGATCTTGTCAAAACCAGGTTTGGTTTTCAGCATCCACACCAGGCAGGACACAGCCGGCCACCTGTAACTTCAGTTTCAGGGCATCTGACGCTCTCTTCTGGACTCTATAGGCACACCCACCCACATGATGCATATAAGTTCATAAAGGCACAAACACATACACATAAGAAAAGATAAAAAAGAAAAGTATACTTTGCCCTACTTTCAGAATATTCAGTTGTTTCAGGACTGTTGGTTAAATCTCAATTAGGAATCAGTATTTATTGCAACAGCATCTTCCGTGTTCATAATGCTCTCTCGTCTGCGTTCATATTAGTCTTGGGAATTCTCACTATAAACTTTTAGTTTTCAGACAATCAGCAATTAAAGCCTAATGAGAACCATCAAAAATATCCTCAACTGGGGGAAAACTCTATTAAGCAATAAAAACTAGGCTACCAAAACAAAAACAAGTGGGTAAAAGATTTTTACATCTTTCTTCTTTGTATGATCTTTTATTTTTTGAAACTATAATAAATCACATAATCTCTCCCCTTCCTTTGCCTCCCTCCAAGCCCTTCCATGCACCCCCTTGTTCTCTTTCTAATCTATGGCCTCTTTGTTTCTATAATCCTAAATCTCTAACTACAACCTGCTCAGGCAGTATAATGTTATCTGTATGTATGACCTCAGGGCTGACAGCCCTGATATTGGATATGATATTGGATAAACAGTTGAGGGGGCTCTTCCCTGGGGAAGACCATTTGGGAGGCACTTTAAAGCTGCTTCCTGAATTATACTCACATGTTCCTATATATTAAACGCAGGTGATTTAAAATTACCAAATTAGAGTTCAGAGTTGCTTATTGGCTCTCTCTCCTCCATCAACATTCAGATAAAACAAATCAAGTGTCTCTTTCTCTGCTTGGGCACTTGCCTTTCCCTGGTTCATCTCTGTTATCAGGTGGACTTGCTCCACTGGGATCCTTGGCAGCAGAATGGTCACCAATCCCAGAAGAAAGAGTCTCCTTCTGTAATACTTCTACCAAGAGTCCTAGCATTACATCTGCTCGGATATAAATCTGCTAGGACTGCACCGGCTTAGAATACACTTTCTATATGTGTGTAGATGGCACATGTTATCATGTCACACATGTGGTTGCCTATGTACTTGTGGGTATGAGCCATATGTATGACTCTTCCTCCACCCGGTGAAGTCGTCCGCATCCTGGGACAACGTCAGTGCTCTCAGAGTAACCCAGTTCTCTCAAGTTCACCCTCTTGTGTCCTCTCTGCTTCTCTGTGGCTAACCTGAATCTTTAGAGCTCTGAGACAATAAGGGACTTCTCATATCTTTTAGTTGTATCTTAGACCGTTAGTCAGCTTTGTACTACTCCAAGACACACCCAAGACAATCAACTTATCAGGAGAGAATGTTTACTTTAGTTTACAGACTTGGACACTTCCGTACCAATTAAGACTGGCTCACCCTGCTGTTTTTGTGCAGGGCAGCACACTCTGGCCAGGCAAAGCTTCAAGAGAGAACAAAACCTTATAGCTAGGAATTAAAAGGGAGAGGGAGAAGAAGAGTGAAATTAAACGCTGTCCTTAATAGTTGGATCTGTGGAGGACACTTAAGATCCAAACTATGGCAGACCGTTATTTAAATTATTTATGTCACATTTGATATAATTCATAGTTTTACAATCTATATATGTTTCTCTGTCTAACTGCAAAAATTTAACTTTTAATTTTTGCTTATATACTTTTAACTTTTATTTATTTATCATCATTATTATTATTTGTGGTGTGTGTGTATGTGTGTATGCCTAAGCATGTCATGACATATGTGTGAACTTGTGAGAGTCAGTTCTCTCCTTCCACCTTATATAGGACTGAAATCAGGTCTTTAGGTTTGCACAACAAGGACTTTTATCTTGCTAAGTCAGGTCAGTTCATCATTCCTTAAACATTTTTTTAAAATCCAATTTTTTTACACATACTAGGCACTTGATAAATATTTACTTATTTGCGTCGCCTGACCTGGTAATGAAACAGCAAAAAGAGTCTTCTACACAAGAATGAGCATGCGGAAGCCGAACATGAGCCAGAATTAGAAGATCCCGAGGAAGACAAGTGTCCCCAGACCACCCCATTCACGGTTATATAACAGCTCAGGCCCATAAAATGGGGCAAAAAAAAAAAAATCATCCTTTAAAAAAGAAAAGATTCATGTTTATTTTATTTGCATGCGTGTTTTGCCTGCATGTATGTGTGTGCATCATGTGTGTGTAGTAGTGCCTGTGGAGTCTGGAAGAGGGTGTCAGACCCTCTGGAACTAGAGTTACAGATAGTTTTGAGTCACCAAATTAGTCAATGAACCCAGTGAGCCCAGACTTACCAGACCTACCAGGAATGAATTTTGGGGAAGAGTTCCCATGTTTATAAACTGGATATGAGTTGTGATTTGAAGCTATGTGGGAAGATTTTAGAAAATGAGAAAATATGCTAAAGAGCATCTTATGGGCCCAGCAGTGGTGGCGCATTCCAGCACTTGGGAGGCAGAGGCAGAAAGGCAGAGAAGCAGAGGCAGAGAGAGGCAGAGAGAGGCAGAGAGGCAGAGGCAGAGGCAGACTGGTTCAAGACCAGCCTGGTGTACAGAGTGGGTTCCAGAACAGTCAGAATTATACAGAAAAACCCTGTTTTAAAAAATAAAAACAAATGAAGAAAAATACAAGCAAACAAAAATTTAGCATATTTGTGCTAAATATGCTAAAATAGCATCTCAGTCTGAAGCACAATTATACAGTTATCATTATTTTAACATTAAACTGACCCTAGAAATACTATTATAGGATATTTATATTATCATAAAGCCACTTGTATATTCTCTTCCTAAAATTTATTTTGTTGTTTAATACATATATTGTATTTTTTGAATAATGGAACACATACAAGATATATCATACCTCAAGAATATCTAGGAAAAGAACTAAAAGTTTGGAGTAAAGGGGATGAAAATTAGCTTTTTTAAAAAAAATAATAAAGGCCTATCTATATAGCCTAGATTGCTCAAAATTATGAAGCCCAGGCTGGCCTTGAGCTCCTTCATGCCTCAGTTCCTAAGTACTGAGAGTCCAAGAACAAACCACCTCAGGTTATTTTTTTAAATTCAGTTTTTAATGATTATTTTAAAAGATAAATCAAATGACATGAATGTGTATGGTTTTACTTAATATATGTGTATTATGTGTGTATATGCTATATACTAACATGTAAATGTGGTACAGCAGAAAGGAAAGTAATTCTAGAAGGGTAAGCCCTTAAGTCACATATGATAAACCTCTTTTTTTGAAAGGTATTTCTGTTCCCAACAACCGATTTAAACTATAATTATATTACTTTTGAGCAATACTTGAATTGATAGACTGCAGAAGCATCACAGCCAATCCACTTAATACAAATAATAAGATAAACACTCCTCTAAAAATTGTCTCCTTCTTCTCCAAATACAAGGTCTCATTGTAGCTCAGGTTGGCCTCAAGTTCACTACGCAGTGATGTAGCTGATGCTAGCTTTAAATTCCTGACCCTCCTGCTTCTACCTCTTAAGTGCTGGGATTACAGGTGTGCTCCACCCCACCGAGCAAGTTTTTCTTTTTGGTAATTGCCAGCTAAATGTAGAACTTTAATTCCATAGCTTAACAAGAAAGGATCCCACACACAACGTAAT